CGCGCGCCCCCCAGGTGCCTGCCCCGCCGCCTCTGCACCCCTGGCTAGTGAGCGCACTCTTGGATATTGGACCCGGAGCCGGCACTCTGAGGGCTGAGGGTCCGAAGCCAGTAAGAGAGACAAACCAAGGCGGGAGCGCCTCTTCTTTTTGGCATCCTGCCGCGGCCCCCAGGTGCCTGCCCCGCCGCCTCTGCACCCCTGGCTAGTGAGCGCACTCTTGGATATTGGACCCGGAGCCGGCACTCTGAGGGCTGAGGGTCCGAAGCCAGTAAGAGAGACAAACCAAGGCGGGAGCGCCCCTCTTCTTTCTCCCTTCCTCCCGTGGGTCATCCCCCGCTCGCCGCGCAGCCCTACTGTGTGCCTTTCCCACTTCCTGAGCCACCCGGTCTGGTGGGGAGACCTAGACTGTCCCTAAAGGCTGCTTGAAAGGGCATCTCAGAGGAACCGCACGTGCAAAGGCAGGAAGAGTACACAGGAGGTTTGCGTCTGAGCCCCAAACTCGAATGCTTGGCTGCAGAGCTTGGATGCCATCCCGAGAAAGGCTGGAAGCCACTGAGGACCTGAGCTGTGCAGGAGCCCCAGGGTGGGTGTAGGAAGGGCCTATGGGACCCTTGGTGGACAGTGGGACCAGAGAGAAGGAGGGGGGCTGAGCAGAGTGGGGAGAGGCACCTCCGCAGCCTGCACCAGCTGGGGCTCTGGGAAGGGGCATGGGGTCTCGCACAGGATACAGACTCCTAGAGGGCAGTTAGCACTCAAGCACTGTTACAACTTTTTGGCATTGGGCAGCTTGTGGGCAAAAGACAAAACTCTGCAAAAACTTGGGGTCCCCTCTGGCCACCTGGCCAGAACTTTTGCCTTTGAGTGGGAGTGTCTGGGCCTGCAGTAGACAGGAGGGCACCAAGCAGGCCTGGCACACAGTAGGCCTGGAGAAATTTCTGTCCCCAGCAAATCTGTTTCCAGGCCCAAGGTCCTGGAAGGTCTAGACACCTGGACACCTGAAAAGGGAGGGAAGAGGCATCTGGTGGCAAGTTAAGGTTCCATCTTTTCTGAGATCTGTGGTCTAACAGGTGAGGCCTGATGCCAGGCAGGAACGGAGGTGAGTAGGGCTGAGCCAGAGATGAAGCCAGGATCTGAGGAAGGGCTCCCTTGTGCCCAGGGAGGTTGCAAGTAGGGCAGGTGGTGGCCACGTATTACTCACCTGCCTTGGCATCAAGTGTGGGAAAGAGCATGGGTGTGCCCAGGTGGCCTTTGGGTACCATTGCCTCCTGGCCTATAACAGGCACCTCTAGGGCAGGTAAGATCAAGTGCCAGGCAGTAGATGGTCCTTCCCCAACCTTTTCCTCCTATCTTCTTGGCCCCCTTGCTCTCAGGCACTCACTCAGGGCTCTTGCTGGGATCTGGGCTAGCCCCATCTTGAGTTAGACTTCAGGAAGAACTTCCAGGGGAAACAAAGGGGATGACAGTGCTATGGAATGTGAGGAGGTCAGTTGTAAAGAAGGCGGCTACACTTTTTCGTGGGCCTTTCAGAGTCCAGTCTGTAAGCTACATCTTCTGGAATGCCCACCCTGTGGTCTTGAGGGATCCTTGGCTGCAGGGATCTCCTTGTTGACTCGGTTACCCCGCCCCCAGCCTGGTGACTTGCTGGGTAGTATGGGGACATCTTGGGTCCCTCCTCCTCTTGAAACTAAGGTGGGAGGAGGGCGAGAAGCCACCCAGATGCCTCTACCTGTGCTCGACCTTGGCAAGCCCTTGGCCCCTTGGTTTCTCTATTTGCTATTGGGCATGACCTCAGCACCACAGGCCTAGTAGGCATTTGTGAAAAGTGAGGATGGTTGCTGGGAGCTAATGGCTGCTGGGCATGGCCTGTGGTAGGACTGTGTGCCTAGCCTCTCTTCCTCCCAATCCCAAGAGGACCGGGCTGGCCGCCCACTTCTGTTCACCATGGAGCTGGGTTTCCCTGGGGACCAGTGAACTGGCCCAGCTCTGCCCCACCCCCAGCCCCAGCCCCTCCTGGCAGCAGCTCACACTAGGAGGAGGGGTGGAGGCTGGGCTGCCTCCTGGACCCCTGCCCCCTGGTCCTGCCTTCCAGGGCTGGGCAGCCTGGGTCCATTGCTGGGCTGGGAGCAAGAAGCAGTGGCTGCCCTTGGAAGAGGTGGGTATCCAGGGGCTGCCAACCAGGGTGCATGCCAGGGCCAGGGAGAGCTAAATATCACTCCATTGTAGGAAGGAGAAACCCAAGGACCAGGGTTCTGATCCGCCCAAGTGGACCTGGGGTTTGACCACAGGCATAGTAGCCTCCCTGGAGAAGGGAGAATCCCAGGGCTCCCAGGCTGTGGGATTTTGAGGGGTAACAGAAAGCAGGGAGAATTTGCTGGACAAGGCAGCTGGGGCTGGACCTAAAAGTCTGGCTGAGGTTGGGGCAGAAGGGCTCCCCTGGCAGTGGGTACAGCCCAGGCAAATGTGGGAGAGGGGAGTAAGGGTGCTGAGCCTGGAGGGCCTCGAAGGGGAGTTGCCATCCTTGATCACATTGTTCCTCTGTGATCTGGCTCCCCTATAGGGTTCCCAGCTCCAACGCAGGCTCTTTCAGAAGCCCTGCCTCCCCCTCCCCACTATGTCTCTTATCTCTCTGTGTCTCTACCCACATCCCCATCTCAGGCCTGGTCCCTATAGATGCCCCCTGTTTCCCCGACTCTCCACCGCAGGTCCTGAAGGCAACTCCAGCGAGGATGGTCGCTCCAGCATTTCTAAGGGCCGTGGGGTGTCCGGCCCCACCTGGGGCACCCTAGCCTCCCACAGCCTACCGTCTGTGCTCCTGCCCCCTGCCCATCTGAGGGCCATTCGCCATGGGCGGCTGCTTCTCCAAGCCCAAGCCAGGTAACTCCTTTCGTCTTGCCTCCTACCTCCCCCCTCCCTCCTCCTGCCACCTTCTTCCTTCCCCTCCCTCTCTGCCTCCGAAGTAGGTCAGGCTGGGCAGCAGCTGCTCTGAATGTTAATGCACAGCAGGCAAGATGGTGTGAGGGGCCTGGAGCATTCTTCTGGCCCTCTTCCAGTGACCCCCCGCTTCTTTATTTGGGGCTTTGGGTGCTGGTGATGGGAATAGCAGCTGAGGGGAGGGTTCCTCCTGCCACAGGGTGGGGAGAGGAGCTGTGTCCCCCAGGGCCATGGAAGGGGGTCTCCGCCACTGTGTGACCCAGGGTGTGCAAGTTACCACTCAGCCTCAGTTTCCCTCTTTACAAAATGACCTCTCAGAGTTGCTGTGAGAGCTAAGTAGACAGGTCCCAGCCCTCTTCACCTCTTCTGACCCCTTTGTGACCTTGGGCCATCTCCTCAGCTTCTCTGGGTACACTTCCCCATTTGTACAGGAAATCCCCACCATGCCTAGCCCAAGCAGTTCCAGCCCGGAGTAGGGGTGTCCCAGGGTGCTGGAGGGACCTGGGTTTGCTCTCCGCTGGAGAATCTTTGCTGGGCTCTCCCTCTTGCCTCCACTTTTCCTCTTTCCTCCTCTTAACACCCAGGAAAGCAAGGTGTGCGGGTATGTCACAGATGAAGAAACCGAGGCCTAGAGATACCTCTTTAGTGCCCAGCCAGTGCCCCGCCCATGGTGCCCAGGCCACCCTGCCCAGGCTGGCTCACACCAGCTCCCCTTACCTGATACCCATCAGCTCTATTACCTTGGAATGCCTGAGCTTTTTCTCCATTTCTTGGGTCTGAAAGAGAACTTGGGGGCAAGAGAAGATGTATGATACTCTGCCAGGCAGAGGGACCCACCCACATCTGCCCTGGGAACCCATTCTTCCTCCCCTCAGCCCTGCCTGTGCTGTGAACACCCAGCCCTAGACTATATACCTCCCTGCCTGATGTATAACCTGGGCAAATGATGTCCATTGTCTTGACCTCAGCCTCCCCTCATCAGAAGTGGGCAGGAGGACACTGGCTGGCCCCAAACTGGCTCCTGTAGGACTGCTGGCCTGGCCGGAGATCCTGGGCAGAAGAGGCCACCTGTAGCTTCTTTTAAAGGAATGTAAAGGACCGGCCTGCCTGGGACTCCTGGCCCCAGGACTCCTGGTACAGGGGCTGTACACTCACCACACCAGAACTTGGCCTCTTGAGTCCAAATCCAGCCCCTCTTCCTGGCTGTGTGGCCTTGGACAGGTGACTTTACTTCTCTGAGTCTCTTGTGTTCTCACTCATAAAATGGGGCTAATAATTGTGCCTTCTGTACAGGCTGTCGTACTTAGCACAGGGCCCCCCACACAGGAGGCACTTGCAGGACACTATTATCCCCTTGTCTGGGCCTGGGATCTCTGTAGCCAGGACTCCCCCATGGGGCTGTAGTAGGAGGGCAGGAGCTTAGGCCCCAGGCACACATGCTGAGAACATCAGCAGTGAGGCTCAGGGAATTTTGGGGTGCAGGAGTGAGGAGAACCTTCAGCCATGAGAGTTCAGCTGGAGTCAGAAGGGGCCACAGGGAAACCAGAAGAAGCAAAAGATCTTTGTACAATTCTTCACTTCCTACCTTTCTCAATTCTGTGGCTCAGAGCACATCAGCACATACTTCCTGAGCTCCCTCTATATACCTATGCTTCAGTGGCTCTGTGTTCCTGATAGGAAGAATTCCAGGCCAGACCCTTGCTAAGCTCAGAACTAGGAGGAAGTGCACCTCTCCTGGTATCTGGTCACCTGCTTTTTATTAGGCCACAAGTGCTACCTAAAGGCTTTCCTTCTTTGCCATGGCTGCCAGGAAGCTCAGAGCTACCAATAGAACACTATTACCTAACTTCATCTGGTGAGCTTATACTCTGGGTTACGTATATGATCTTTAGCATTTACTGTCGCTAAAGAGATAGATGCTATTCTCTCCATTTTATAACAAAGGCGTCTGCCCAAGAGGGCTAAGGCAGGAGCCTGTGGTCACATGGGCAGCTGAGAATCAGGAGGCTAGGATTGATTTGGCTCTGTGGGTGAGCAGAGACCCCCTCCTCATCTGCTGTTCCTGACTTAATGGCTTCGGGTTAAATTGCATCAGGAAGTGTCTCAGAGTCTTGTAGAAGAAGGTGGAAGATGAAAAAAGCCTGGCTTGGCTGTTGTCTGGGCCTCTGCCAGGATGTTCTTGTGAGTTCCCTCTCTAAAGCTCATGTAGCTGGTGTCAGCTGAGTCCAAAATATTTTTCTTTTTAACTCTTCTGAAAACATTCTAACACCATTACATAAAATGTGGAAAATGGAGGGAAAAACCCGTAACTTCCCCACCTGACACAACAGCTTCAGCATGTGGTGTGCTCAGGCACCCTTCCTGCCCAGCTGGAATCATGGAGTGAACCTTCACCCCTGCCCCCTGCCATGCCTAGGCCTGGGCTGGGGGCCGTAATGTGAGGACAGGGGGGCTGCCCCCCCAGGTTCCCAGGCCAGGCCAAGGTGGGGGATTACACAGCCTGAGATGGAGGTACATGGAGGGGCTGGGCAGCCAGGGGAGGCAGTACCTGAGCTGAGTCTAGGTGGATGGGCAGGAGTTAGGTCCGGGAAGGATGGCAGCCTGGAGCAAGGGAACTGCATAGGCGAAGGCTGGAAACTGTGACTCTGGGTTCTTTGCTTCTAGAGTGAAAGGTCTGGGGCGAAGAGGATGAGAGGTGAAGCTAGGAGAGGCCTGGAGGCTCTGGTGCCTTGGGATTTGGGAGAGGCACCTCCTGCTTTTGCATTGAGCCCAAGCTGTGCCAGGGGCTTAGCTTCCATTACTTAGTCTTCCTCCCAGCAGCAGCAGCCCAGGAGGCCGGATTATCGCTGCTTAAAATTCTGTTTATTGTTCCTTTCTAATTAGAAAAATACCCCAGGTGCATTGTAGGGAATTTGGAAAATGCAGAAAAGTATGAAAAAGAAAATGACAATCTCCAGTTAACTCTCCCCTAGAATCGGCCCCATGGGCAGGCTGGGGAAGTAGTGTGTTTTGTGTGGAGGCTGGGGGCAGGGGAGGCTGTGCCCTCTCTGCTCTGTCCACATGCATGCCCCAGGTGGGAGTCACCCTTAAGGCCCCAGACCCCTGCACGTGAAGATGCTGAAACATCAGTGCTTGGTAAATGCCGAAGGATTCTCAAAGTGGTGAGATCAGCTATTTTGAGAAGTTGAAATTATTTTGTGTACACTTTTTTTTGAGTTTTGAAAAAAAAAAATGTCAAACCTATGAGAAAGTTGCAAGCATAGAATAAGGAACCCTTGATTTCCCGTCACCCAGATTCACTGGCTGGGATCTGAGCTGCACCTGTTTGGGATGCCCGATTCTCACTTGAGTCAGATCCTAAACGTGCCCCTGATCCCTCAGGGATGTTGTTGTCCTCCACTGGGGACTGTGCCCTTGGAGTCAGAGCAAGATTCAGTGGACCGGGGCTCTTTCCTCCACACAGATTCCTGGAGAAAGGGCAATTTCAGGGTTTAAAGAGCTTTGTTTTTGCCCCCTCCCCCACACACGAATCATGTTATTGAAATTAAAAAAAAACATGCAGAAATTCATTCAAGCCCACCCAGCAGCTGCCCCTGCCGCACCTACCCTGCTTCTTGCCTACTTTAAGGCTCTTTGCTGGTGCTGCAGATGGCTTTCTGGAGAGGGTGAGGCACAGGGGAGAACCTGCAGTCAGGAGCGGGCCTTGCTCAGAGCTTGTGGAGTATGCAGGCTGGGCGTTCACGGTGCCTCCCTCCTGCCCTGCCCACCCGCAGTGGAACTCAAGATTGAGGTGGTGCTGCCCGAGAAGGAGCGGGGCAAGGAGGAGCTGTCAGCCAGCGGGAAAGGCAGCCCCCGGGCCTACCAGGGCAACGGCACTGCCTGCCACTTCCACTCAGAGGAGCGCCTGCCTGCCCCTCACCCCTACTCTGGAGCTCAGGACTGTGTGGAGGCCGCCGTCTGCCATGTCAAGGACCTCGAGAATGGCCAGTGGGTGCTGGGCTTGGGATGGGTCAGAGGCCCCAAGGTGGGAGGGCAGAGCACAAGCCACTGATGTGGTGGGTGGGGAGGCCTGGAAGGGGCCTCTAGCCAGCTCCTGTCCTGGCCACCTCCACTGTGGCTTCTGCTGGTCTGGGCCTGCTCCCTGGAAGGCTGGACTCTAGGAGGCGGTGCCGGCAAGAGGTGGTGCCCCACATCTGTCCTGACTTCTGAAGGCAGCCCTTCTCCAGGATGCGAGAAGTGGAGCTGGGCTGGGGGAAGGTGTTGCTGGTGAAGGACAATGGGGAGTTCCATGCCCTGGGACACAAATGTCCACACTATGGTGCACCCCTGGTGAAAGGTGAGTTGTCGAGGTATACATGGGGGGTGGGGGCAGGACCCCCTCCAGTGGGCTTGGCCACTGCACCATCACGAGGGGACGCTCTGCCCCTAAGGGGCTCACACCCCAGTTCCACCAGGCCCCAGGCCAGTTTGGCTCCTTCCAGAGCCTCCAGTTCATCTATTGGTGGGGTCTCCTGGGCTGTGTGGAAGGGCCAGGGGGTGCTGGGACACAGGGATCCCTGGAGAGGGGCTCTTGCCAGTGACCCCAGCTCTCACTGCCCCTCCCAGGCGTGCTCTCCCGTGGCCGGGTGCGCTGCCCTTGGCATGGTGCCTGCTTCAACATCAGCACTGGGGACCTGGAGGACTTCCCTGGCCTGGACAGTCTACACAAGTTCCAGGTGGAGCTGGGTGTGCGGTAGGGTGGGAGCCTCGGGGTACAGGGTCAGGGGCCAGAGCACCCAAAAGCCTGGTTCTGAGCACCGAAGCACTTGCAGGTGAAGATTGAGAAGGAGAAGGTGTACATCCGGGCCAGCAAGCAGGTGAGGGGGTGGCTTGGGGCTCAGGCAAAAGGGAGAGGTGAGGTGGGCATCCGGGCCTGGAGAACAGCGTGTGCAAAGCCCTGCGGTGGGAGGGAGTCTGGTGAGTGTGGCTGGGGAGTGGAGTGAAGGCCTGCATGATGCAGATGAGGCTGGACTGCTGGGATGATGGCATAGGGAGGTTGGCTCTGACCCCAGTTCCTAGCTGACCCCCACTCTCCGGTGACCCCTAGGCCTTGCAGCTGCAGCGAAGGACCAAGGTGATGGCCAAGTGTATCTCTCCAAGTGCTGGCCACAGTGGCAGCACCAACGTGCTCATCGTGGGCGCAGGTTGGTGGGGTCATGAGGGGCAGGCAGGGTGAGGATGGGGAGAGCTGGTGCCTGACCCACAGCCCCTCCTCTCAGGTGCAGCTGGTTTGGTGTGTGCGGAGACCCTGCGGCAGGAGGGCTTCTCAGACAGGATCGTCCTGTGCACTCTGGATCGGCACCTCCCCTATGACCGACCCAAGCTCAGCAAGGTGCGGGGTAAGGCAAGTGGGAGCTGGGCCCTATCCCTCTGGGTACAGTCAGGCCCACTTTGGAGCCTTGTTTGTTGCCCTTTGGGAGTCTGGCCAGCTGCTCTCTCCAGTCATGCCAGGCACCACGGTGCCTGGCATTTGAAGATCTGGGTTTGTTGAGTTCTCTCTTGTAGTCTCTGTGTTACCTGGGGCTGGCCTACCCTCCCTGGGCCCCAGGTACTCTGTTGCAAATGGAACAATGGCCGCCTGGCCCTGTCTGAAGCTGGCTGTCTCCCGCAGTCCTTGGATGCTCAGCCCGAGCAGCTGGCCCTAAGGCCCAAGGAGTTCTTCCGAGCCTATGGCATCGAAGTGCTCACTGAGGCCCAGGTAGGGGACACAGCTGGGGAACCATGAAGGGCATGAGGCCCTGTTGGTCCCTGAAGGTGTGGGGGTGCTCTGCCCTCCTGGCCCTGATACCTAGGCACCCAGAGGGTGCATTCTGAAGCTTAAAGAATAAGGAGGAGTTGCCAGGTGAGGGAGGAAGAACAACTCGGGGCCAGGAACAGCACTGTGAAGCTGCTCAGGGGGTCTGGCTGGGCTCTGGACGCACTGCAGGACTCGGGCAGCCAGGCTCAGGGCCATGCTCTGCCCGGTGTGATTGCAGGTGGTCACAGTGGACGTGAGAAACAAGAAGGTCGTTTTCAAGGATGGCTTCAAGTTGGAGTACAGCAAGCTGCTGCTGGCTCCAGGGAGCAGGTGAGAGGGTATTGCCCCCACTGCCCCCTGGTGGACACTGGGCAGGGCACTAGCCAGGATGAGAAGGCTCAGGTGCCCGGAAGCCCCTCACTGACACTGGCCATTTCTCAGCCCTAAGACCCTGAGCTGCAAAGGCAAAGAGGTGGAAAACGTGTTTACCATCCGGACTCCGGAGGATGCCAATCGTGTGGTGAGGCTGGCCCGGGGCCGAAATGCGGTGGTCGTGGGAGCCGGCTTCCTAGGTGAGCAGCTGGGGGTGGTGGGGTGGTGCTGATTCTAGGAGGTACAGGGTGCCAGTTTGCTGCCCACCACCCTGGCCCAGGGATGGAGGTGGCCGCCTATCTGACTGAGAAGGCCCACTCAGTGTCCGTGGTGGAGCTGGAGGAGACACCCTTCAGGAGGTTCCTGGGGGAGCGTGTCGGTCGTGCCCTCATGAAGGTGAGCCCACCCTGGCCCCTGGCCCCTAGGAACCCTGGGCACCCATGGGCTCTCACCCACTGCCCACCTGCCCTGATAGGTTTTTGAGAACAACCGGGTCAAATTCTACATGCAGACAGAGGTGTCGGAGCTACGGGCCCAGGAGGGAAAGGTGGGCCCTTCTCACTGCCCCTCTCTGTCCCCTCTCCCTGGTGCCTGGGAGCTTGACCCAGCCGCTCACCTGCCCACTCCCCACAGCTGAAGGAGGTTGTACTGAAGAGCAGCAAGGTGGTACGGGCTGACGTCTGTGTGGTGGGCATTGGTGAGTGGGTAGGTAGGTGGGTGCGGATGAGCAGAGCCTTGGGCCAGTCCCTTCCCTTCCCTTCACCTCAGTTTTCACATCTATAAAATGGGGACTCTAATCGTACCCACTTCAAAGGGGTGTTGGGGAACAGGCATACTGGGCTTGGCCTAGGCCTGGCACAGAAGGTGCTCCCAGTGACCATTGCCCACTCATATGTGACTCCATGTCCTGCTCTTTATGGGCTCCAGGACACAGACATGCCTCTAACTGTTCTCTGCTCCACTTGAGGTGCCACTTTGGGGAGGGACAAAGCTGGGAGGTGGCAGCACGGGGGTTGGGATGGTAGTGTATGCCGACCCCCACCAGGGAGCTTCCTGGAGTGCTTCTCAGAGGAGGAGATACCCGAGGCGTGATGGGAGGCACGGGGGCCTGTGGGGACCCAGACAGAGGGGACAGGATGCACAAAGGCCAAAGGGTAGGCAGCCCATTGGATGATCAATCTGCAGCTGGGTTTTGGCAAGTGAAGGGTATGGGTCATGTAGAGCAATGACGAGGGAGAAGGGAGGGACCAGGGAGTGGACACAGTGGCCCTGTCCTGTCAGGCGCGGTGCCCGCCACGGGCTTCCTGAGGCAGAGTGGCATTGGTCTGGATTCCCGAGGCTTCATCCCTGTCAACAAGGTGGGGCTGGGTGAGGTGGGAAGGGAACTGGACTGGGGGTGGTGGGAAGTCCAGGTTAGGGCCCCTGTTTCATCTATGAAGCCCTGGACCATCTACCCACAGATGATGCAGACCAACATCCCAGGTGTGTTTGCAGCAGGTGATGCTGTTACCTTCCCTCTGGCCTGGAGGAACAATCGGAAAGTGAACATCCCACACTGGCAGATGGCTCATGCCCAGGGTATGGCCAGCCCCATGGCAGGGTGGGGGGTGGGAGGCTGTCCCAGAGTCTCAGCCTCCCCCAGTCCCACCCCTCAGTTGCTGACCTTGGGTCCTGGTTGCCAGTTGCAGAGCTATTCAAAGATCTGTGGTGGCCTGTCTGGCCAGCCTTATCCAGGTGATCAAGCCAGCTCACAGAGCAAGGCCTGTGGCCCATCTCCCTCCTGTGCCCTCTGGATACCCCATTCAGCCAGCCACAGCACCCCACACCAACTGAGCCTCTCCTTTTCTTTTGTCCTCAAAGACACACGTTCGCCAAGGAGAAAGGGATTTAGTAGGACATGGGCCAGTTCCCTTCTCAGTGCCTCTGTCTCCCTTGGGCCACTCAGCTGGCTCTGGGAACTCAGTTGCCTTAATCAGGCCCCTGGGAGGCTGCTATCTGGGCCTGGAAACCCGGGCTCAGTGGGGAACTGTTGTGCTCTCTGAGGAATAGCTTTCCCCGCTCACCAAGCCTTCGAAGCTGTGTCCACTGTGCATTCTTGGTCTGGGCTCCTAAACTGCCAGTGCCAGCAAGTTAGCTGCCTCATCAGGATGACCGCCAGGCTCCCCGCATCCACCTCCCCTCCCCTCCGCCTTCATGTTATCTGAGTCTCGGCTGCCTGAAACCCCACTCCTGGTACCAATTTCTGTTCTGGTCCAAGGTCTGAAGTTGGTGCTAGGTTTTAAGGAGCCAAAGGCTGCTGGTCAGCTGAATGAAATTAAGGTTTAACTGAGAGGGTCCCGGGGACTCTCACAGACATCCAACCACAAGACTCCAGTGGAGCTTCATGGACTGGAAAGCCACCCACTATTCTCTCTGGGGCCCTGGATGTGGCGGACATCGCTCTTTCCCAGGCACTTGTGCCCACTCTCATGCTTCCTTCTTCAGACCTGATGTATCTGATTCGTTGTCTGTGTGCACACCCGAGATGGTGGGGCAGCCCCATAGCCCCAGACCTAGGGCACTTCATTCAGATTCTCCGGAGAAGCTATCTAAGTGGCCAGCTTTGAGCTAGGTGTCCCCCTCTGTATCAATCAGCTGCAACCAAGTGGGGACAGGTGCCTGAGCAATGATGCGCCTCTTGACCTCTGCGGCTGCAAGGAGGAGTAGCCTACACACGAAGGGTCCCTAAAGAACAGGGGCAGGCAGTGTAGGGATGGTGGGGGCTAGGGTTGGGCTCTCACTACTCTGGGTTCCGCAGGGCGCGTGGCAGCCCAGAACATGCTGGCTCAGGAGGCGGAGATCAACACCGTGCCTTACCTGTGGACCGCAATGTTTGGCAAGAGCCTACGCTACGCGGGTAACGGGAGCCTCGGACGGACGATGCCGGGCCTAGCGCACGTAGGGGCGGAGCTAAGGTGTTAGCGGACTGCACAGGTGGGGCCTGGAGTTTGGGCGGGGCCACGACCTCTATAGGAAGTAGCAAAGAACTCGGCGGCAAAGCCAGGGACTACCTAAGAAAGGTATAGTTAGGAGGGCTCAGGATGCTGATCCGGCGGAGCTCCATCCTCCTCGCTGGGCTCACGTGGACGCTTCTCGCCTGTCCGGCCTACAGGGTACGGAGAAGGTTTCGACGACGTCATCATCCAAGGGGATCTGGAGGAGCTGAAGTTCGTGGCTTTTTACACCAAGTGAGAGCAACGGGGCGGAGAAGGGGAGCGAAGCAGCGGGAGCTCGGTGGTTAGGGGGAACTCATCCCAGAGAAGCTGCTCCAGACAAGGAGGCTTACCTGAAAGGAGGAGCTAGTGGCAAAAGGGGGCAGCTAGGCAGGAGACACTGTCAAGGAGAGGAGAGGAGGTGGAGCAGTAATAATTCCATCTGCCACGCATTGGGGTGGGACATTTTATCTTCAGGACAGCTCTTTGAGATGGGTGTTGTTGACACACTGCTTCTACACTGAGGGAAGTCCCAGCCCTGAACCGCACTGAGGAATAGAAGTAAGGCTGGCGCCCCCATGGGGGTCCTGTAGGAGCCCACAGCCCGCGCTGGGCTTTTAAAGTGCAGAGCAGGGAGGGCTGGTGCTCGGGATGTCCAGTTGTCTAAGGTAAGATCCCTCCCTGGGCCCCAGGTAGACAGGAGTATGTCAGGATCTCAAAGAAGAGGGGCCACTGCTGGGCAGTCCTCAGGCTCAGCCACCCTCTCCCTGCAGAGGTGACGAGGTGATCGCCGTGGCCAGCATGAACTATGATCCCATCGTGTCCAAGGTGGCTGAGGTGCTGGCCTCGGGCCGCGCCATCCGGAAGCGGGAAGTGGAGTGAGTGTGGGCACTGGAGACCTGGGGTGTGGAGGGCAAGAAGTCCAACAAAGGACTGTTTCAAGATGCCCATGACAGCCAGGTGCCCCACATCCCTCCTCCAGGGCCAGTCCCCTCACTCTTGGTCCCCATCAGTCTGAAGCTCTCAGGGCTATGGTGCCATATGGGGCAAAAGTTATGATATGGGAATGGGCTGTTTATACGTGCTGTTGGGTGATAGAAAGGAAGTAGGCCAGGGACAGTGCTGTGGGGAGGAGTCAAGGCCCACTGCTTGGGCAATCACTGGGCCTGGGGCACCTGACTGGACATAGTTGTGTTGAGCCTGGCAGAAGCCAGGTGGGAAAATGCAGCTAGTATGCCCCTGGGGACGCCCTGCACAGAGATGTGGGGTGGTTGTTTGGGGTCTGGGAGAACTGACACCAGTCATTACCCTCATCCTGGCATGGTGCAATGGGAGTCACCCTGTAGGCTCAACCTACCTACAGAGAGCTCCCAGGGACTGAGGAAAGCCTGAAGGCATGAAGGGGGTAGGCCTCCGGGTAGAAACAATGAAGAACCAAGAGGGGACATAAATGACGTGCTCTCTCCCTGGCCTTCTGTCTCTCCCTCTTGCCCTCGCAAAGGCTGTTTCTGCTGCACAGCAAGTACGTGTCCTCTGTCCTTCTTGATGACTGTTCTGAGCCTCTCCCACCTCAGCCCTGAGTCTACACCCAATGGTCTTTCCCCCTCTGCTCAAGTACACATTGGGCTGGGCACCAGGGCCTGGCACAGAGTGGGCCCCTGCTGCCCTCAAGGGCCAGCTAGCTGTTCATGGTGCTGAGTGGGGAGCCTGCTCTCTTCATCTGCCCTGACTCCTCCTTCCCTCATTCCTGCAGGACCGGCGACATGTCTTGGCTCACAGGAAAAGGATCCTGAGCTTGCATGCAGCAGACTTAGGCAGGCATGCTGGGGCACCAGGGACAGAGGCCAAGCCCTGGGGGCAGGTGCCAACCTCCAATTTCCCAGGGTCCCCCAGGGCAGGACCTGAGCCCTCCCAGTGTTTGCCATCTGCTGCCTGGCTCACTTTCAGAGAGGCCTCTGCTTCTTCCAAGAGATGCTCACCACCCAAGGCCTCCACAGCTACCAATGGCTAGCAGTGGAGGCGAGACAGGCCCTGCCTCTTCTCTGTATTGGGACTGGTCCCCTGTAGGAGCCTACAACATCTTAGACATTACCTTAAAATTAAAACGCACACATTTGCAGATCTGTGTGACTTCCACTGTAATTGGGCACTCACAAGAGAGAAAGCAGAGAAACAGGCACAATCACAGAATGCTTAGTGCCACGCCAAGGAAGTTTGCCCTGTGAGTGCTCAGAGGAGGTAGCAACTGATGCTGGCGCCGGGGTTAGGAAAGTCTTCTCCAACCAATGTTTTGGATCTCGAAGGAAGGGCATTCCAGGTAGAGGGAACTGCATGTGCAAAGGGCTTGAGACAGGAAGTGCTTCTTCAGAAGTCAGGCGGTTGGCAGTTTGGAGGCATTTGCTCACTTAGGGTTGTAAGAACTGGGTCCTGAGAGAGATCTCATGCTTCTCATGGCAGCCAGAGCTTCTTCCTAAATCCTAATTTCACAGGTGAAGAAACTGAGGCTGTGCTATTGAGAAATGAGAACCCAGAGCCTCTAAGCCACATTGCCTCTCAGCCAATAAAAACATCGAGGGCAGATGCGGGTGGCCCGGGCTGGGGTCGCGAGCAGGAAGGGGTAGTTGGGCTGCTTGTGGGGGCTGCTGCGAGTCCAGAACCCTCCACCTGGGATCCCGGGAGCCGCGAACAATCACAGTCGAACCCCGTGCAGACAGGGCATGCCGGGAAATGCTGACCATCTCGGGGCGGCGTAGGCAGGGCAGGAGCTGGGGAAGTGCAGTCGAACAGGACTGGGGATCTGACACCATTCACTGGGGGGAAACCTGGCACCAGTACTCTGCGAGAAATGCTTCCCAGAAGGCTACGCGCTCGAAACGCCCGGTCACAGGTGCCATACCCGCCCCCGGAGTCACAAAGCGCTAGGCTTGTCGGGAAGCACGGGCCGACCGTAGCGCAGTGTCAGGCGGAAGTGCTGCACCGTCGGCCCAGAGCTCGACGGGAAATGTAGTCCCTCGGGGAGGCCCAGGGCGGTGGCCGCTCGTCTCCCGGACCCGGTGGCAGATCGGGTGTGGACCCGGGATGGCTGGGACGGGCGGCTCGGGGGGCCCGATCGGGGCCGGAGCCTTGGCAGGCGCCGCGCGGTCCAAGGTAGCCCCGAGCGTGGACTTTGACCACAGCTGCTCAGACAGTGTCGAGTACCTGACGCTCAACTTCGGGCCTTTTGAGACAGTGCATCGCTGGAGGCGCCTCCCACCCTGCGACGAGTTTGTGGGAGCTCGGTACGGCGGGGTTCAGGGATCTTGGGGCTGGAGTGATTTTTGAGGGGGTTTCATGGCGGTGTGCAGGGGTGAGGCTGGGACGTGGTGTCCTGGAGTGGGATCTGGTAATGGAAGGACGAGCGGTGGTGTCCAGGACGGTGTCCAGGGCATTGTAGGGGGTTTTGAGGGAGTCCCGGAGCGGGGTGGTTAGGGGCAGGGGTACTAGAGTTATGCTGTGTTTGTGGATCTCCGGCTGGGGTCCCAAGTGCTCTGCAGTGGGATGAGAATTCCAGAGAGCCCCAGGGCAGTGTCAGGGGTCCCTACATGCAGGGTCCTTTGGGGGGGCGGTACTGGTAGAATTTAGGGGTTTCTGTTGATCTTGGCAGTTGAGAGGTGTCATTCAACTTCTGTGGCAGCCCCAGTGCTTGGTCTCATTCCTTGGGTGCCCCCAGGAGGGTCATGTCCTCACACAGCCCACCCCTCTCTTTCCAGGCGCAGCAAGCACACAGTGGTGGCTTATAAAGATGCCATCTATGTATTTGGTGGAGACAATGGGTGAGTGAGTCTGAGCATCAGGGTGTTTGGACCAGGGAGGGAGAAGTATCGTGGTTTGGATTGGGCCTCTGCAGCTCCGCTACTGTCTATCCAGAAGTTAGCTAAGCATTCAGCCTTAATTTCCCAATCTGTGAGGTTCCCTGTGCTCAAGGCACTCAGCTCAGCATCCAGTGGGTAACACAAGCTCAGGCACTGGAAATTTCCCTCTCGTTTGAGGGAGTGGACACAGCCTTGAAAGAAACATCTGTCTTGGCCACCACCCTGCTGGGCAATTTTCCTTCCCTGCATTTCTCTCTGGGCCTCATCCACATGCTCACATGGAAGCTGAAAGTATGGAGGACACAGCTTTATTTCTCACAGTTTTCACTTTTTGTAAGGATTTTCCCAAATTGCTATAAATTTCTGGCAAAAAAAAAAAAAACAACTTTCCTGGAAACAACCTGATGCTCTATCGGTGGGCACACCTCCAACCCCTGAATTGTTCCTTGTTAAGCTGTGGCTGGTTTCCTCTGGCAAAAGATGATGGCAGAGGTGAACCCTTGGTTTGTGCAGCCACTTCCTTCTGGCATGTTTTCTTCTGATTCAGGCCCCAGGAGCTCTACCTCCCAGAAAAAAAGAGCTATCTTAGTTTGGGCTGGGCCATGTCAGGTGCTGGGTGCAGGCACAGGCGCAGCAGGCATGCTTGTTCTATAGGAGCGTCTGGTCTTGTCAGGAAGCCTTTGCAGAAAAGTTAATGACCTGAGAGATGAGAAGGAGTGAGCTACACAGAAGAAAAGTTTGCCAAGCAGAGGGAACAGTGTAGGCGATGGGTGGGAAGTGGGAGAGTGCAGAATAGCACCAGGTCTGAGTCTAGACAGGGCTTCCCTTCTTCATTGATGTGCTCAGGAAAGGCCAGGGATGTCCACCAGGGAACTGGGAGGGTTGGGAACCTGCTGGATGTGCAACAGAAGCTTGGTCTCTTGGATAGGCAAGGCTCATTTCAAATTAGAGATTTGCGACTTTGGGCTCAGGCAAGTGGCCTAATAGCACCAACTGCATTTTGGTCTCCTGTGGATATGGGGCAGCCATGTGTGCTCCTTTTGCAGGGTGCTCCTGAGGTTCAGTGAAGACAAGCTTGTAAGGGGCTCAGCACAAACGTTTCCCTGTGTTGAGGGTGCAGTATTTGCACACCATCCACCCTGCCCATGAGTCCCGTCCCCACCTCTCAACCACAGGACCTGGCCCGAAGCCCAGGAATGGCTGGCCTCTGATTGGTGCTGCAGCTTTTGTCCTGCAGGACTCCCTAGGGGAGCTACTTGAGAATGGCGGGGTAGGCAGGACCCAATGAGAGCTTGCACACTGGGCAAAAGGGTCTCCTTGGGCATGGTCCCCTGGTTTCCAGCCCACCTCCTCTACAGTCTCTTCCCCATGAGCAGCCAGAGGGATCTATTTGAAAATGCAAGTCAGAGAATGTTCCTCTTTAGCTCATAACCCTGGGATGTCTCCTCATCTCTTAGAGTAAAAGCCCAAGCCCTCTTGGCAGTTGGTGTACCCCCACTGCTCCTCTGACCCCAGCCCACACTGCCTTGCTGTGCCTTGCTGTGCCTTGCTGTGTTCTCATTGTACCAAGCATCCTGCTCAGGCCCTTGCACTGGCTGTTCCTGTCTCCCTACCCTTCCTGCCCCTCCTCTGAATCTCCTGTGAGTGAGGCTTCTCTAACCACCTGGACCAACTGGACCAATTAGCAGTCCTCCCCTCATCTTCTGCACCTCTTTCCAGCTCCCTGATGGTCTCAGAGCACACAGATGTTTATTATCTCTCCTCTACCAGGGCGGGGCCTGTATCCCAGCACCCAGACAATTCAACACATGTTTGTCACTTGAAGGAATGAAATAAAGACATTTACTGGAACCTTCATAAGAATCCCCCAAAGCAGAAAAGGCCTGGTGTACAGCACAGGGCAGTGGGTGGGAACAGCCCCAAGAGTGTTCTGTAGCAGGTACTTTGAGTGACCCTAGCAACAAGCAGAAATATTTTTGCTGCAATGTAACACTAAGAAACAGGGTCCAAAATTTTCTCAGTCTAGTTGCAACTTTATGAAGACCACTGAGTACAAGGAAAGATGGCCTGCATCATG